GGGGCGGGATCCGCCCGCCGGGAGCGCCGAGCGGGCACCGCGCTGCCCTCTGCCAGGCTTTGTTCCCTCAGGAAGCGGCCGCAGTCACCTCTGACAGGAGCTCGCCTTCAAGGGGAGGTCTCTGGTTACTTCTCCTGGGAGGAAGGCCGTGGTAAAAAGCGTTGAGTTCTTCTCCCGCGCTTAGGAGAGCAGATCCCAGGTGTCCTGTGCGCGTTCCTCTCGGGGAATTGCGGGTTTTTTACCTGGCGGCAGGTGTGAGCTCGGTTCTCCTCCCCCCTGGCCCCTGCCTCAGGGGCTGGGTTAAGGATTTATTGAGAAAATAACAGCGAGCTTTTACATTCTTGTGTCTTGCTGGTGCTTACATTCTCCAATAATCGTCCAGCAGAAGATACTTACTTTGTGTTCAGTCACCCAGGCAGCCGGGAAGCAACCATGAGATGAGCTTATGCTGCTCTGACTGTGAAAAGATGCTGCGCTTCTGCTGCTCTCCCCCCTTTCCTCGTGCTCCCCTTCATACACACCCTCCCTGTTCCACTTCATCAAACTGCAACTCTCTAATTAGCACCCGGGTAGTTTTCGCCTCCAGCTGCACCACTCGTGGGTCAAACGTCACAGTTTTACACTGGGTTCTCAATATGTCAGGGTAACATCCTGCCCTTTTTGGGAGCTTAAGATACTAAGGAAAATTCCATGGCATTACCTCTGTCCTAACAGCAGCAGCTATACATTCATTTCTCTTTCTCAGGAGACAGCAAAGCACTGATAAAACTGGAGTTATTGTTGGTAACAGCTGAACTACAGACAGCAAATGGAACAGGTACAGTGAAAATATAAGGATAGCAAAAGGGAAGTAGGGGTGCACTGGTGCAAGCTGTATTCAGCACTAGCAGGAAATGAATAAAATGCAATTTGCACACATGCTGAAAGTGCCATCGCTAAGAAACATAAGTGTCCTTTTCCCCAGTGTCTGAATTAACAGGGAGCTCATGTAAACATGGTATTATTTTTGCTATTATTTTTTATTTGAATGAAAACAAATGTTTCCTTCTTTCCCCTCCTGTGATTTTCAGGAAACTGAATCAGTAACTTCAGGAAGAAAAAATAAATAAGAAGCCTTCAAATGTACAGTAGATTCCTGAACTTTGTTTAAAACTCATCCTCTCACTCTGGCTGCTGCAGGAAGTAGAAGTGCCCAGCAACAGTAAAGGAAGGAGAATCTCACCTGGGGAATTCTGTCAGACTAACATAAACATCCTTAAGTACTAGCAACATCCACTAAGGTAAGATAGCCATGTATTGAAACAAATACCATACAATAAACCCACCAAGAACAACGCAGCATCTTTAACTCTGAATGAATCGATTCTGTCTTTCTGGATCATGGAAAACAGAAGTGGAGAACATGCCCCTTAGCAGACATTTTCCATTAGCAAAATGCACAGCCATTTAAACCAAAGTCTCGCTTGGTCTGAGCTCCCCTGCTGTCACAGCTACAACATTGTTTGCCCAGAACCTCAGAAATGCATTACTGGTTTCCCCTATTAAAAACTTGCCTTTCAAATAATTTTTTTTTTAAAGCAATGGAAATGGCCAAACATTAAATGAACAAGCAGAAAAGGGATTCAAGTCAAGGAACAAGCCTATCCTTGCACCTTTTTTATTGTCCAGAGCACTGGACATATTTAAAATACCAGTGAAGTCACAAAGTTAAAATAACTTTTTGCAAACAGTAGGTGGAAGGTGGGTAATGCACCAATTATGCTCAAAGGAGACTGGCTTTATATTTCAATCTGCAATATTCACTCCGTTTCCAGATGTTTTACACCCAGCAAACTTGATTCCAACAGTAAAAGGATTATGTGGGCACGTCCAACCACACACTCATGGCATGGTCAGTGGTAACAGATCACACAGCTCCTAGACAGGCAGCACCAGAGCATATAGGTATTATATCAGTGGCATGGATACCAAACCTGTGCCCTTTCTATTCAAAATACCATGCACCAGAAGACATTTCTTATTTTCAGGTAGACCAAGTTACCCTTACATATCAAAAACACCAGGAGGTGAAAGACACCACGCCAATTGTATTCAAAATCATTAAAATACAGCTAAGGGTCTTGGAGAGCAATAACCATTAAACAAACCTTGAACATCCTGATGAAGTGGGTATTTCTCCTCTCTGAAAAAATGGAGTCAGAGATTTTAAAGTTAATTGTCTCAGGTTACACAGCAAGTAGATGCAAAACAAGAAGCTGGACGCTTAATTTGGATCCTACTAACAAGGAGATTACCCATCTGCTTCCAGTTAAACATGCTTCCAATACCCTGCTGAATTAGACTTTATATGGCTATTCAAAACACTGGACCAGTCTACGTAGCCAATGCTAGATAAATAAAAAACATGTAAAATAGAAACAGACTCAATTAGCATTATAAAACAAGTTTATTGCAAAGTAAAATGAGTTTTTCCCTTTAACAGCACATGCCAGAACTGCTAAAATTTTATACTTTCATCTGGATGCTGCTCAAAAAAAATATCCAAATTATTAGAACCAAACTTAATATTTGTATGTGTATACATTTCCACAATACCTGCATTTATTGGTGACTGATTTTCAATTAATGACAATTAACTCAAGTAATTGAAGAAAATATTTAATAAATTATTCCTTAGCCAAACTATCATTTAAGTATATTGGGGACAAAACAGGGAGTCAACTGAGGAAAAAAAAGGACTTGATTAAAAGTTACAGGGGTCATCTCAACAATTTTTTGGGTCATCTCTGCTCATCATTGCAGTATAATCCAGTTTTTGAACATTCTGCTCAGTAAATTCAACACCACAGTTAAACAAGACAGCAGATCAGTCCACGTCTTCAACCAGAGAAATTCCTTCCTTTTTTTCTAGCTTGGATACCTGCAAGTTAAAAGGAAACTGATTCAATAGTAAACACAAGTTTGCATTTCATGTCTCCTGTCTTTTCAGACTTCTACCACAAAACAGTGCAGAGCTCAGGTTGATCGGGAACTGACAGTGGGTTACAGGGGACAACTGAGCTGAACAGGCTGTTAGCTGTAGTCAAGAGCAAAGGTCAAACTTTCTCCTTACCCATGCCCTAAATCTACCCCTGACTACATCCTCCCATCACTTCCTAGTTTTCTGTCAGTTTGGTGACTTCATCTGGCTGACTAAGGAGTGAGACAAGCACCAAAGCTGCCTCAGAAGCCAGAAGAGACAGGAAGGGAGGCAAGACTACCCCTTCCAGTGAGAGCTCTCAGGTCAGATCACATCAGGCCATAACCTGTAACACTGCCCATAAAAGAGAGCCTGGAGTAACTTAAACAAACACAGGGAAAGTTTTCCATGCACACACTCATAATTTTATAAAACTGTTCACTGTTCTTAAAACAAAATAAAAGTTTATACTAAGCTAGGCTGTTAACACCAACAATAAAACAGTTTCAGAAAGCATTCTACAAATCCATGGAAGACAGACCAAGAGCACAAACTAAACACAATGTTCTGCACGTTCTCTCCTAACTCTGGAAAATTCTGTTTTACATTCCCTAAATCTATAAGGATATATAGGGAGGGTTCTACTATAAAATCCCTGTACTTATGTACATCTCCTACTGGCCATGAAAGAGACACAAAGATACTCTGATAAATTTTTTTGTTTGACCAAATGC